TGTCCAAGCCGCAGCGACTGGAGCAGACACTGGCTTCATTTTGTGGGGGGAACTGCACTCAAAATGCACCCTGAAGAGTGCCTAGGAGGCCATGAACACATTGCCTTCACTCCCTCTAATTCCAACCCTGGCAAGAAGAGCCTCCCAGTGTAGTAGAAGAAAGCCAAGATTAAAACTCTTCAGTGGCCAGAAAGGGTATAAAGTCTCTCTTGGAAACCTGTGAGAGACAGTCCGTGGTCCTGCTGTGTAATCCAGAAGATGGTCTGGTTCCCCTCCTGGTCAAGTCATGCAGGGATCTGTTCTTCAGTTCTCCAGCCCAATGACAGGGACAAGAACCTGTCCCTTCATCAGCAAGGGCCATGCTGACAAACAGATTAAAGATTGTCCAGTGTTCAGAGGCAGCAATGTGGAGGACACCTAGGAAAGCATCCACACAGGTCAGGAGAGGGGATTTCTGCAGTATCTATTTGGGATGCTCCATCCCTGGAAGTGTTTGAGGTCAGGTTGGACAGGGCTTTGAGCAACCTCATCTGGTTGAAGATGTCCCTCCCTGTGGCAGGAAGGCTGGACTAGATGATCTTCAAAAGTCCCTTCCAACCCAAACCATTCCATGATTCTATGTTTTGTTTTCCAGTACAAGCTAAAGCATGAATAAATCAGTGGCATACATTGGCATGGCCCACCTTCCCAGTGCTTTAAGAATCCTTTTTTTAGGGTAGCAAATTTGGATGGGGAAAGCTATTAGAATTAAAAAAAAATTTCATCTTGCAACAAAACCAAGACATTGCCAACCAAACACCAACCCTGGTCTCAACTCCACATTTCCCACCGTTCACAACACCCAGGCTCTGGAGACGATCTCCAGCCCCAACAGGAAAGCTCCTCTCAGCAAGCCAGATCCTAGAGCTTAGCGATACTTTCTGGGCTGTATGCACTACTGGGACCATGAAGCCCCTGCACACCCCCATGGCTCTCCCGGGGCAGGGACAGACACCAAGCACTGCTCACGGATGAAGTTCAAGTCCCTGAAGATTTTCCTGTGCTCCCCCTGCTCAGGGCAGAAACACATTCCACCCGCTGACACCAAACCAAAGCCTCGCAGCCAAATCCTTTGCTAATGCCATGCAGCTGGCAGGCAAAACTGATACAGGGAGAGGAAAAATAGGGCCCCGCTTGTTGTCAGAGCTGGGCTCACTTCTACTAGCCACCCCACCACTGCAGCCACACCACCGGTGATTTCCGAGGCAAAGAGGTAGGACGGCTCTTTGGAGACACCCGTTCTTTCCAAGCCATTCAAGTACTTGCACTGAATAGTTTTATGGCTAAACCTGGTAATCCCTCTGCTGAGTCTACAGTCAGAAAAAACATCTGCTGGCATTACCTGCACGTTGGCAAATGACCATTCACCCGACAAGCAGCGACCACAAACCCTCCCAACATTTCACAGCAGCGATGCACTTTAAAGCATATGAGTACGTAGTTAAAAAAAAGTTAAATACAACAAAAACTATGAGATCTGATAGTTAGAAGAATGCAAGTTTTGGAGGCGCTTTCTTAACCAGGCGAAAGCTGGTGTTTGGCGAGAGCCTTTTTTTGTGCGTACACATGGGGTACAGCTGACATCGGGTGAAGGACGGATCTGATCTAAGCCTGACAGTAGCACTGCAAAATCTGCTCTGTGTATAATCAGGTAGAGTATCTGTGGGGAGGTAATTCCCGTGGCTACTGAAAGACAGACCTTTGTGAGGCCTCGTTTCATAGCAGCATTTAAGGTTAACTGGCATATAGAAGCAGTTTTCTTTCTACACACTGGAAAAAACAACCAACAAAAAAACAGGAGAGGGAGGAAGGGAAGTGCATAGCCCCAGATTAGCTGACAGCGTCACCAGGAGTATACCAGAGGTGTGGCTTTTTTCCTTGTGATCCCTTTTAACTCTGCTACTAAGCAAACTGCAAGCTGCAGCAACAGGGCTGTTTGGAGGCGCTTTCTTAACCAGGCGAAAGCTGGTGTTTGGCGAGAGCCTTTTTTTGTGCGTACACATGGGGTACAGCTGACATCGGGTGAAGGACGGATCTGATCTAAGCCTGACAGTAGCACTGCAAAATCTGCTCTGTGTATAATCAGGTAGAGTATCTGTGGGGAGGTAATTCCCGTGGCTACTGAAAGACAGACCTTTGTGAGGCCTCGTTTCATAGCAGCATTTAAGGTTAACTGGCATATAGAAGCAGTTTTCTTTCTACACACTGGAAAAAACAACCAACAAAAAAAACAGGAGAGGGAGGAAGGGAAGTGCATAGCCCCAGATTAGCTGACAGCGTCACCAGGAGTATACCAGAGGTGTGGCTTTTTTCCTTGTGATCCCTTTTAACTCTGCTACTAAGCAAACTGCAAGCTGCAGCAACAGGGCTGGGGAGTCCCGCATTACCAGATGTAACCTGGTTCGGGATCCCCACCACAAAGCTTCCTTCACTGCAGCTGTTCCCCTGTTGCCAGTAAGCCAAACGTGCAGTCATTTACAGCTGTCCAAACCAGTGTCCATGTTTCTCTCCACAACTGCTGAGGCTGCGTGGGTGGCTTCCACACTGTGCCGTATTCCGTAAGTAAAGTAGATGATAAAGCCTGCAGAAGCCAAGGGGAGATGGCACCATTAGCTCTGTAAGGAAATAAAAACGCTACTCACACCGATCAACATAGGTTACACCAGGGGTAAGTCCAGCCATCCTGATGGCTAGCTTCTAGCGGACAGCCACCACCTTCCTTAGAAAAAAAGCCATTAACACAGGCATCAGTCTTTTTAAAAGACAATCTATCTGGGCCCCAAACAGGGGGCTGATTACAGAATAAACCTCTAATGGTTTTCAGTGAGTTCACTGCAGTCCACTCTGCAGAGAGCTTTCTCTCTCCATCTGTGTGCCTACAGCATCCATCCCAGTAAAGTACATCTGCAACTGATGCTAATCTTAATCGTTCTCATTGCAGCAATTTCCCTGGGCCTTTCAGGCAATTCAGCCTTCTCCATATGGCTACTGGGAGCATCTTGGGATGGAGCTCAGCTCCTTCAGCTCCAGAAGCAGAAGCCCCACCACTTGGACTGCAGTTCAAGGCCAGCCAACAAGACCTGCTGTATGGTTTCTTGTTGGCAGCAAGACCCATAAGAGTTCATGGGTTGCTGTTTTCTCCTCACAAAGGCTTCATGACCCTTGAATTTAAAACAAGGCTTGAGACACACTGCCTAAATGGCTTCAGTTAAGCCACCAAGGTTGCCCAAGGATGATGACAGTGCAGGATCCTTCCCTGGAATGCTACAGTAGGTTTATAGTTAACAAAATCTAGTAACTTTGAACACTGATTTTTTTTTACTGTCTCAAACTCACCTATAAGCATCCAGACTGCAAACCGTACCCATGTGCCTAGGTCTAGCTGCATCATGAGGTAAACGTTCACAAAAATACTCACAACAGGAAGAAGGGGCAAAAGAGGTACCTGAAAAAGAAAGAGGGATACGTTACATCCACAGGGCTGATCAATGTGCAGGCAAGAACATCGCATCCCTGGTAAACGGTAAGTGATGGCTGCTACCAACTCTTCAGCTGCCAGATCTGAGAAAAGGCAAGGTTAGACCAAAATGGAGGACATCAATCCACCATGGGAGAGGGATGTAAACAATGCTGTTCACCTGTTTTAAGAATAGTTGTCCTTGTTATGTGGTCTGGAAGAAGGCAAGAGGCAAATTTCAGCAGCAATACTAAATATGTGTGGGGCGAAGGAGAGAAGAGGAAAACCAAAGACTGCATCATGACAGGCACCTACTGAAGACCAGGAGGAGGCAAAGAGAATGTCAGAGGAGGTACGTGAAGAACTTCATCCAGCAGGTACCAAGGTAACTGAGCGACACAAAGCAAATTATCCCAGAGCAGAAGAAAAACAGGAAATACTGTAAGAGATGAGTGCAGCTATACCAAGAATGCCTCAATGACCTGAGACACAAAGAAGAATGAGACAGTAAAGCCAAAAAGCAAAAATCAAAATATGCATACATAGCACAGGCATGTAAAGACAAAATCAGAAAGAACAAATTATAAACATAGAAAGGGGTTTGTGAATATGGTGAAACCAAGAGGAAAGTTTCTCCAGGAACTTCATTCCTAAGAAAAAAGGAGGTTTACAAAAAGAAACAGGCTGAAATGTTATAGGCCTTTCTTGATTTAAGCTTCATGAAAAAAAAAATTATGGTGAGCAGCTGTTCACATCATTAGAGAAAGGGGATGGGCACACAAATTAGAAAACAGAAGAGTATTTTTCTAAATCAGGCTTTGTCAAGTCAGTAGGGACAAATGAGATTTCCCTGGAGGAGTGAGTTATGTACCCAGATATTGCAGAAGTGATCTCTGAACTATTAATAGGCATCTCTGAGAGCTTTGGTAGACCAGTAAGCTCTCTGAAGACTGGAGAGGGGAGACAAATTACCTATCAAGAAGAAATACAGAAAAACAACCGGGGAACAAACCAGTCAGCCTTGGATTCCCAGAGAGACTTTGGAGGGGGGGGGGGGGGAAATCACTAGACAGTCAGGTTGTAAATATCTAAAGGACAACAAGGAGATAAGAAACAGGCATTACAGATTTAGCAGTGACAGGTCTAATACCTTTTTTCTCAGACAGGGTAGGGGCTGAAGGACTAAAAAAGGAGGTAAAATATCATGAGTGTAAGGCAAAGAGATCTCCTCAGAAGCAAGTTCAGAAAATACAGTCTAGATGACAGTTCCTAAGTTTTCTGCTCCTGGACATTTCTGTTTCCACTTATGGGACCATAACCCCAAGATGAGCTGCAAAAACTATCTTAGGCAAATTATTAAAGTCAGAGAAATTACTGAAAAACTGTAATTGAAGAGCAGTGAACATGAGAGCAGTTTGGAAGATGGGATTAGAATCCAAAACTAATTTAATGAACCAGGGAAACAGCCTGAAATCAATATGATAAAACATGTCTTGCAGGATTATACTGGGGGGAAAAAAAAAAAAACCACCACAAAACCATCCCAGTGTTTGTTTAATACTGAAAGGATGGTGTGCTTGGACAGTGCTGGAAAATGACTGAGTTCCTGATACTTGTGGCTATTAAAGAGAGAACGGCCATCCCTTAGTCTCCATGGGGACTAAGTAGGACATGAAAGCGCACTTCCTTAGAGCCTTTTAGTGAGTACCCCTTTCATACTCGTACACAAGCTTGCTTCTTGGATTCTCTCTCCCCTGTATCCACAATCTGACCTGTCCCTTCAAAACCATCCCCTTTTCTGCTGGTCTCTGTCTCTTCCATATCCTGTAACAATCTGCTTTCAAAAGCACTGTCCTGCCCTTCCCTTTTCACCACATCTCCACCGGGTTCTGCCCTCCCAGCTTCTCCTGGACTCCAGCACTATTTACATTTCCTTCTAATTCTTCTACTGTCGCCTCTGACTTGACCACGTGTGACTTCCTCTCCTGACTCCCTCCTCACCCCTTCAGTCCTTCTTTCTGTGCTGAATCTGCTTCTGCCCACAGGGCACTGCTGGGCAGCAGGCTTCCTGACACTGCTTCTGCCACGCATTCTGCAGCAAAGCATCTGCACTGACATTTGAGGTTAGATCCCAAGAGGAAACCACACTCGGAGGCTGAGCTCAGCTCTGGTAGGACATCCCTTTATGCACTAAGCACAGACTACGAGAGGTTGCAGCCACGTTAGCTGGAGAGCTCAATCAGCTCTATTGGCAGCCCTGCACGGAAAAGGTCACATCATGCCTATATTCTCTGCACGTCCATTTGGCCAAATCTCCCCTTCTGATACAGGCCAACATGCACTTCCTCCTCCAACCACCTCCCAAACAGCTCTTTACCAGCTACACCTCCTAGGACACTCACCTTAAAGGAGAGCTTGGTTTTGCTTTCAGGCTGTTTCCGTATAACGAAGCTGACAATAAGAACAAGGATGGCAGCAATAATCCATACAGCCTTTATCACAATGCTTGGTTCAAGGACAGTCAGGATACAGCTACCCACGATAAGGAAACCTGTGAACAGAAACCAAAAGCTTACCAATTCTTTTTTTAGGAACAGGAAAAAAAACCACAGAACCACAAGTAGGCAAAGCAGAATCTGAAAGCTAGGCAAACAAACCAGCAACACACAAAAAAGGTAACTAAGAAATATGCCCTTCCCCCTATACACCCCCCTCCCCCATCTGTGGATTTCTTTTCAAGTCATAAATTTAAGCTGTAGATCTTCAGTCATTTTGGCCATTACAAGAGATCACCAAAATGACAGCCAGGAGGTGAGCTTTCCCACCACAGTGAGTACAAGGACCTACGAGCTGGCTCACTGCCCAGTGCTTACCAATGATGAAGGCTGAGACATTCACCACCGAGCCAGAGAATTTAGAAGGGTCTGAATTTGGGGGACACAGTATGGCTTTGAGGGAACATTTCTCCTCTTCCTCTGGCAGAAATCCAGCCTGCGACTCACTGGTGCTTACAGACTCGTTGTTATCCGTCTCCTCTGTTGTCCTAGCCATCTGGTATGCCAAATTAGGCTGTTCTGGCTGATACCTAGGAAAAGGGAAATCAAACAAAGAGCATATTGGTTTGGTGCAGGGTACTGTTCGTTTAAAAGCCACACAAGTAGCCACAGCTGCACCCCAGATCACTACAGCACCAGAACAGGCACACATTACGTCTACACCCTTCTGGTTTAGGGGGAAATCTGAGGAATAACATTGTCATAGTATGAGCAAACATGGTCAGCTATTATCACCTACAGCTTGGTTGTAAGGTCAGTGTTTTAAACTGGACAGTGCTCTCTTTCATAAACCCTGTCATCCATGTCACCAAAACATGATGGGGTCATAGCAGTGAGGACCAGAGAAGGAAGCGGCAGAGGGACAGACAGATGGTCATAACTGGGCCATCAGGTTATCTGTGGCAGTTCAGCTCTTGTATTTTGGCATGGAGGTGGCTGAGCTAACAGCTCAGCAGATATCGCACCCAGCAGCTGCTGACTGCACCCCACAGCGACATTTCTGATGCCCCATCCTCCTCCATCCCAGTCTCTTCTTCTGGCTTGTCTGCTGCCACAAAGGGAAAGAAGAGGCAAACAAAGAACAGTACTTTTTTGCTGCGTGTGCAGACAGCACCTCATTCAACAGGGCCCTGATGCACAACCATGTGTATCCACAAAGAAAAAACACTCTTCCAGCCTCAGCTCTTTTTCACAGGTTTTGCCCGTGACTCTCAGCCCACAAGCCTGACTAAAGGAAAAGGCTGTTTTGAAAGACATCTTAAAAACACCCTGTGGGGATCTATTTGTAATGAGGGCATTTGTGAAACACTGCAAAGTGAGAAATGCAGTGAAATCCTTGGCTCCAGCCACAGCAGGGTATTAGTGGCAGGACCTTACAGCTTTGGAAACAATTCAGCTGCTACTTCATCAGGCAGCCAATGGGGCAGCCAAATCACTGCTCAGGCTGCTACAAGATAGGCTATCAGCTCTGCAAATCTACGATGGGGAAAATGCCATACAACGCATACAGCAGCTCGCAAAAATATATTAAGAAGCCATTTACAGCTGTATGGAGAAGAGGGGACTGGGAAATCAGAGGAAAAGTAAGAAGGGCGAGGAAAATCATCAAGGATTTTCAAGGAGCAGGGTGGACAGCATAGGCACAGAGCAATGATATTACAGTACAGCGTTAGCCCTTCATCTGCTGCAAGACAGCTCTTAGTTCAATGCATTTTCTGTGAGCAGGCAAAAAGCCTCCACCAGACTTTGAATGAGTCGTTGAACACAAAGGTATTTTTCAGTAACATGATCTTCAAAATACAGTCCTCATGGGTAGAGTGCTGCTATCCATGAGGTGCCAAGCAATGAAGATACTCAATTTTTAGCTTAGGTTAGGGAAGCCGTGGGACCTCAGCGCTTCTAAAAGACATGCTCAGCTTTTTTGTTGCTGCTAGGCTTTATCTTGAAGCCCTTTTCAAAAAGTAAGATGACCTGAAACTGTACCCCACAGTTGGGAACAAGAGTGATGATGACACAGGCATCCAGGACCACCCATCTCTCATCCCTACATGTTGGCATATCTGCCAGGGCAGACAGAGCTCATCGCAGCAGGAGTGGCATGGACTAAGGGCTAACCAAATTCAGAGGACACCCTTGCAGATAAAACTAGCACAGTCCCCCATGAGCTTAAAGAAACAAGTTCTTCACATGCTTATTGCTGGAGCTATGAGGGCATCTGATTGCTGTGTGGATTTCTGTCTGTGTGGTACAAGAGAAGCTGTTTCTACATCCATACCTCAGTACCAATACGCAGGCTGCCACCAAGGAGTAAGCCAGGAGGGTCCCAATGGACATGAGATCCACAAGATCTTTCAAGTCAAAGAGAAAGCTCGTAATAGCTGTAGGAAAGGAAGGTGAGAGAGGGAAGAAAAATCAGTAACACAGTATAACATGCACATCTCAGGAGCCTTAATGGCAATGCAGCACACATGTGACTTGCTCAGGACTCAGCTGGGGAGCTCAAGCTGTTCTGAGATGGGGAAAGGCAGGACTGGGGGCATGAATACCCTGAGCCTTGCAGGCTGTCCTAGCACAGCATCACTCATTGCCAGAGTCCCCCAGTGCAGCCACAGCACCCCTAAGGCCACTATTTTCTCCTGGAAGTAGCTAGAGGGAACAGAGGACAGGCAGCATCTTGCTCCAGTGTCTTGGCTCAGCTAGGGCGAAACCAGGCTTGTGAACACAATGGGACCAAACATCAAAGAGGGCATCTTGAGTTAGCACGCCTTGTCATGGAGATTTCCAGAAAAAGGTATCGACTGCCATTCCTTAGGGATTACCTGCTTACACACCCTCACCCTCAGGCAACCCCTGGTTGTACAGACCTTTGTATAAAGGCCTTCAGAAGGAGAAGCAAGTAAGTGGAGACACCATAGTCAAGACATTAAGGTGACACCATGAGAGCACAGGGATGTCAGAGCCGAGCCTGGCCCAGCTTGTCCTCAACACACCACTGGGAGCCCAAGAACCAACGCAACCTTTAAGCTCATCTGGCAAGTGCTGTCCCTGCAGCTTCGTGTGTGCTTTGGTCCTAGAAGAGCTGAAGGGACTGCAAAGCACTTTTTTTTACTTTATCTGGCTCTTTTTTCCCCAGTCTGGACCCAAGGCCACCTGAGAAGGAAGGTGCCAGAGAAACGGCTGTGAAGAGGCTCTGTGGGTCCCAGCAGCAGGAGCTGAGACATTTCACAGGAGCCCAGAGCCCACGGTGGCAGTTCAGCACCAACTCCCCACCAAACATGGCTTGTTCTCACACTGACAGCTCATCCCACATTTGCAGCGGAAGGTAAAGAGGAAGCAGCAAGGCTCTCCTCTTTGCTAGGCATGGCGAGGAAGAGGGCGGCTGTGAGAAGACGGTAAGCTGCTCATCCTTGCTCTTGTCTGGGAGGTTTAATTCCCATATTCCTGGGGGCCAGGAGAGGGAAGAGAAGGACAGGATGGCTGCCAGCTGTGACTAATTGATTAACAAACGCCTGTGCCACGTGGGCCATCTGCCTGTCTCCGGCTGCTCTGGTGTCTTCCGCCAAGCTGCTACCCACAGGCAGCGCGGTGTCTTCAGCCAAACCAGGCTAACAGCCACAAGGATGCTGGGGCACCACTGGCTGCCACCTTGCAGGGGGTTAATTATTTTTAAGGCCAGCAGAGCACCCAGGGAGCGGATAAAGGCAATTCTTGGCATGAGACAGGATGTCAGCAAGGAGCTCTGAGAAAGAGGGACAGGCACACAGTGAGCTATTCATGCTTACCCAGCCCCTCCAGGGCATGCCCTGGAAACCCAAGGCACGCTCTGGGAAGTCGTGCTGTGCAATACATCCAATTAATAAGCAGGCTAGAGTCAGGTGGACTTATCTGCCCCTCCTAGGATGAGCTTATGTCTCCTTACCATGCAATCATGTAAATCTTTGGATCTTACCTGCAATGGACCCTGATGTCACTGTTGCAATTAATGGAGTTTTTCTCTTCTCATTGACTTTAGCCAAAAATTTAAAGAGAAGACCATCTTCTGCCATAGCATAAATTATTCGAGGCATCGGAAACATAGAGCCAAGGAGACTAAGGACACAGAAAGGAGAAATAATCCACTTATATCACCTCCTGCTGAGCACAGGCACACAAACAAAAACAAGTTTATGGCAGTACAAACACAGAACAGGTGGCTTCCGTTCACTTCAGCTTCTCCTTCAAGGGCTCCTTCCATACAGTCATGTTGCTGATAGCTGGCAACTGAGGTACAGCTCTGAGATTCTGGATACCTAAACTTAGCCATGGGGCATGAAAACAGCCAGACTCTCAGGTAGGAAAGCAGCCGTAACTCCTATGAGTCTCTGAGTTGCTCACCTAACTGTATATGTCTAAGTTGATCTGAAACAATAGGCCTCTAGAGTGCAGAAGAACATGACGTAATTTGCCTCCAGACTGCGCTGCCTCCCAGCCAGGTGGCTGTCCTGCAGGCAACCTGCAGACATACGGCCCTGGATATAGTAAGCCCCATATGCTCCAGAAGATGCACCCTGCACTACCTGATACAAGTCTGCTCTCCACCCAGCAGGCCAGGATGTCTTGTGGGCAAACTGCAGAGTTGCCTTCATGACTTAGTCACGGAACCATTTATATTCCAGAGATGCACCTGCTGGGTCAGCTGCTAAGATGGGAGTTTCTGAAGTGATACTGGTCACGTGCATCTCTGAAACCTATCACAGGGTGAAACCTGGCCCTTTTGAAGTCAATAGCTCTGAATTTAATCCCTGGTCTCAGCTCCCTTCACCTAGGGGAACACAGGGAAGGCAAAGCCCTGACATACACCATTTTTTAAAGGAGCCGGAGACAAATGTTTGCCTTGAGAGATGCACAAAGGAAGAACAGTGCCTCACCTCGTAGAAAGCGCACACAAGGAACCAAGAGCCACTGCGTAATTGGCTCCATCCCAATCCACATATTTAAAGGCATTGGGTAAAGGGCTACAGGTATCCAGCTGGCAGTAAGGCATCATGAGCGTCAGGGCAGCTGACACGCCAAAATAAGCCACGAAGCAGATGAGCAGAGATGCCACAATGCCAATAGGAATGGCCTTCTGAGGGTTTTTTACCTCCTCACCTGGAAGAAAGAAATTGAAATATCAGCTCAATGACGAGCAAGAACTTTACCCCAACTTAGGGCGTGCTGGCTGGGGCTTTCAAAGGCTCCATGGGCAGCGAGGTGCTGCTTGACCATGTGTGGAGCTGCATGCTGCCGATGGCCTGCCCCAGCCTGTTGCACCCACTTCTGCTGCTCCTGTCACTCCTTCCGACGTAAACATTTGTGGAAGTCTTGTAAACTCAGGCACAGAAATGATCCAGATAGAAAGCAGTCTGTGATGGGTTGACACTGGCTGGACACCAGGTGGCCACCGAAGTTCCCCTCACCCCTCCCTTCTTCCCGAACTCAACTTCAACCCCTGTTTTCTTTATCTCCTCTCCCTGCGCAGTGCAGGGGGACGGGGAATGGGGATTGGGGTCAGTTCATCACATGCTGTCTCCGCTGCTCCTTCCTCCTCAGAGGAGGACTCCTCACACTCTGCCCCTGCTCCAGCCTGGGGTCCCTCCCACGGCAGATGGGACTGTCCTTCCCATGGGGTGCAGTCCTTCAGGAACGGACAGCTCCAGCATGGATCCCCTGCAGGGTCACAAATCCTGCCAGCAAACCTGCCTTGGCGTGGGATTCTCCCCCACAGGGCCACAGGCCCTGCCAGGACCCTGCTCCAGCACGGGCTTCCCACGGGGTCACAGCCTCCTTAGGGCACCCCCCTGCTGTGGCGCAGGGTCCTCCCCGGGCTGCAAGGGGAGATCTGCTCCCCTGTGGGCTCCCTGGTCTGCAGGGGCACAGCCGGCCCCACCATGGGCTGCCCCAGGGGCTGCAGGGGAATCTCTGCTCCAGTGCCTGGAGCACCTCCTGCCCCTCCTGCACAGTCATACAAAGCATCTGAACCTGGGCCTTCCCTGTTTGCTTAATTGGTAAAGCTGGAAGTGTTTTCTGTGGAGTCTGACCTGGTTAGTGTCATCAGTGACCAACCACAGGATGGGCCCTGCAGGCAAAGAAGGGAGAAAGCTCACTTTGTGGGTTATATGGTCTTGCTGCCTGCCATAGCAACTAGAATTCAACACTAAAGCACCCAGGGACTTGGACACAGTCAGCACTTTTGAGTATTAGGAGCAGCTGAACCAAAAGTATATTTTGGGCTGAGGTTCAGAGGGATGATGAATGCAATGCTCTCTGGCCCCTCACTACAAGAGAGATGTTGCATTGCTGGAGCATGTCCAGAGGAGAGCAACCAAGCTGGTGAGGGGTCTGGAGCACAAGTCATATGAGGAACGGCTGAGGGAACTGGGGGTGTTTAGTCTGGAGCGGCGGAGGCTGGCGGTTAGGAAAAACTTCTTCACTGAAAGGGTTGTCAGGCTCTGGAATGGGCTGCCCAGGGAGGTGGTAGAGTCCCCATCCTTGGAGGTATTTAAAAGAAGAATAGATGAGGTGCTTAGGGATATGGTTTAGTGGTGGGATGGCAGGGTTAGGTTAACGGTTGGACTCGATGATCTTAAAGGTCTTTTCCAACCAAAGCGATTCTATGATTCTATGATTACTCATTGTGCTGTACAACATTACTGAAAGCCAGTCTACCAGCAACCAAGTTCATAATCAGAATGAAGACATCTTCCCTCTTACCTGTAGTAGCAATACAGTCAAATCCCACGAAAGCATAAAAACACGTGGCTGCCCCTGAGAGGACTCCTTTCCATCCATAGGGCATAAACCCTCCAACACCGTAGAGCTTTTCTTTCTGTGTTTGACTGAAAGGCATGGCACTGGGTTAAAGTCATCCTGCCTAGGTGGGAGTAATAAAACTATTCATGCAGCTTGTAACAAAATCCACAGCTGGAGTTTGAAGGAACATGCTCTCCCTTTCACATGCCAGCACACAAATAACGGGCAAAAATGCTAAGCCCTACCCACTGCTGAGCTTTGGACTGGCCTGCAACAGCCTAGGGAATGCACAGAATAAAAATGGTTCCCACCACCTGTTTTTTTGGGGCAGATAAAAATGTCTTGGCTAAGACAGGGAGTAAATAGCATGAATATTAAAATTGCTCTCCTAATATTACTGCACGTGTGTAGATACACATATTCATTTGAAGATAAGCTTTTGAAAAAACACAATATATAATTCTGAAAACTGAAGACTGAGAAAAATGTAAACCACTTTTCACCTAAGATGGACTCAGATAAAGTGTAGGTGAGCAGACATTAGAGATCAATGCAGGGTGCCAGGACTGTCCAAAATCCACCCAATCCTCCATTCTCAACTTCAAAATTCCCAGTGCCAATTTTCATACCCAAACTGTGCTTGCGACTTTGAGGGAGGAGAGGAGCCTGCATCCCTGATGCACCAAACGCTTTGCTGAGCCTCATCCAAAGTTCATTCAAGTCAACAGACACCTACTGATCACAGTGCACTCTGGATCAGGACCCCAGATCCATGTGCCTGTGTTGAGTCATGTATAACATACCCTTCAGCTCAAGTGACTTAGCTCACTTTTTCAAGGAAAAGCCTTTGTAAAGATGAATTAAGGCAATTAAATTAAAGTAAATCCCAAATCTGCAAGTCTTATCAGGTGTAAGCATCTGAACTCTCTTGTAGAAGCTCTGCTGAGACTTAGATGAAAACTGGCCTGCTATTTGCAGAAATAGCAAAACCCAGACGTGGATTATTCTGGAAATAATGATAAAGTAAAGTAAACCCCAGGCAGATTTTACAAAAATAGTACGTGCTACAGGTCAAAGAGCTACACTTACACTTCGAAGCTATTGCACTAATTGCTCCTTCCATGGGAACAGCAGTAGGGAAGGGGGGGAACCTTTCCTATAGAAGCAATTTGTTCACAGCAGGCTGAATTTTGCAGAGGCTCAGTAAGCAGCTTGTACACAAGCCAAACTTGACCCATGCAAAATTTATTAATCTCTCCAGCTTTTGCCAAACTGTGCTTCCTTGCAGGCCAACATAAAGGGTTTAGGTAGCAAGCCAGGACTGAGGTGATGTATGTGAAGATATTTAAAGGCCCTTTTTCTGTGTTGTACAGCCTCAAACAGAAATGAACAGGCCTTCTATCACTGGCAACCCTTGCAAGCTCCTTAATTTTGGTCTTGTATAGGAAAACAGAAATTTGGCCAAGTAGGAAAATGCCATTAAAAATGGATTCATGGTACGCTTGCTGCAATGCATTAAAATAATCTGCAACTTGCCTTCATTTTACTGAGGCATTTGGGACAAGGTCTCCAAAAGGTACAACAGTGCCTCAAGGATATTGCCCAAGTGTCCACCTACAGAGCTATACCTCGTCATGGCTTCATACCGGCACTAGAGCCGGCCTCATCACCAAGTTGTTTGGCAAAGGAGGGAGCCATCCCATTCACCGGTTTTCTGAACCACTCCACAAACCCCCCTATGAACTCGACATTGAAAATGCATCACTTTCAGAGCTGAGAAGATTGAACCTACTTGTTTCCATAAATGCCGCAGCTGGCGTTGTAAATTTCCTGTTCAGTCAGCTGCCAGTTTTTAGTAGACCCTTTCACGAAGCCAGAGACCATGACAAAGCCAAGGACGAGGATGTTGATGCAGGTGAACACTTTGTTCACCAGGACAGATTCCTTCACGCCAAAAATTAAGAGCCCTGGTGAAAAAACAGCACATAGGCAGTCAGGTATTTCTCCACCCCCAGCAGGCACTGGGGGTTTGCAGAGGTAGCCCAGCTCTGTTCATGCTGTGCTCTGCCCAACTTATCACACCTCATTTCTCCACAAAGCCAAGCAGCTCAGGTAGGTCAGGATTAACTCACTCAGAAGGAGGAGGACTCCAGCCCAGACATTACTACTGCAGGATGTGACATACCTTCCCACCCAACATGCCCATTTGGCATGTGCCCCTGGTAGAGTGCTTTGCTAACACAGCTAAGCTGCTTCCAGGGCTTTCAACACCAGCTCTGGTCACCTCATGGTGCTACGCTGTGACACCTAGACAGAGCCTCAAACTCCACCCAGAGACATAGAGAAAGCACCCCAGGCGGTTTTCCATAAAGTAACATTGTCTTAGAGGTCTTGGCCACATTCAGAATTTATGAACAACACTCAACTTTCCTTAGAAGCAGGGCGAAATACGAGCAGGGACTGAATCCTCCTACTACAGCTACAGCTACTTCTAGTGCTGAAGACAAGGAAGAAATTTTTTACAATGAGGGTGGTGAAACACTGGAATGGGTTGCCCAGGGATGTGGTGGAGGCCCCATCCCTAAAAACATTCAAGGTCAGATTGGATGGGGCTCTGAGCAGCCTGATCTAGTTAAAGATGTCCCTGCTCACTGCAGAGGGGTTGGACTGGATGACCTCTAAAGGTCCCTTCCAACCCAAAGCATTCTATGGTTCTATGATTCTGTAAGAAGGTGGCATCTTGGGAATCTTGTTCCCATTTAAATCAGCAGGAGCTTTGCCAGTGAGTTTAGCAAGAGCAGGATTTCAGCCTGTGACCTTAAGAACATCCATGTGAAGAACACCACGTCTACAGGCTTTGGCAACCAGCATCTCACTGGGGCATAGCTTGGCTTCTCAGAACGACAAGTTCTGGTAACTTGTGTTTGCTCTTCAGGTGCCTGATTTTCAAGAACCCAAACCTTTAGCCCAAATCTAAGACGGCTGGGGGAGAAGGTAAAAAACTTCACGTGGGCCTGAGGGAGAACAGAAGCACAATAGGGTGTCAAGGCACTTCAAGGAGAGGGGAGCACCCTGTGCACTTACCTTTTCTTCTTTTAAAATAGGAAATAAGCTGAGACAGCCACATCAAGGAAGTGTTTGGTAAAACTGTGTATCTGCCCAGGAAAACTTCTAAGGTACCTTGTAGAAATCTGAAGCTCAAGACAGTGCAAGCAGAAGTAAACTTCTAGTGCTTATATTTGGGACTAAAGCTGCTCATTCAGCAGCTTTTTGTAGAAAAGGATGGTTTGCATTTTTTATTAAAATCCAGGGAATTTGCTCCATGCAGGGGAATAAAGCTATCGGTAATCTGTATAATTTCACACCTGAGTAGTGCTAAAATAAGGAGTCCTAAATTTTTTTAACTGTATCTGAGGTGAAAGACCAGATTCTAATTAGAAACTAGAGCAATTCCTATATACAAAAGAACAATGAGGAAAACCTCTCCCATTCAGATGTAGTCCTGAAAATAGGGGGCTGCTAATGACTTCATCAGTCCTCGATACAGTCCTAGATCCAAATGCAAACTCAGATGCCAAAGCATTTCTTGCTTATGAAGCCTGTTCCCACAAGCACAGCTCACGCTGTGAGACAAACTCCTGATCGGAGTGGGAATTGTTGGGATAACCTTGTTGGGGCGACCCTGTAGCTTCTGCATTCTGGAAACCACAGAGGTGCACATGAGAAGCGTAATTTTAAAAATTTGCCTAGATCTGGCAATGCTTTGCAAGACCCAATTGGAGTAGAGGTAGAAGTTTCAATTTTACAAATTTTCAACACTTTTCCAAACTCTCATCAAAGCCTTGGCACTTTTTTAGAAAAAAAGAGGACCTGACTGTTTATCACACTTCTTTTTTTTTCTTCAGAGTCTTGCATTCACTGCTGCAAACTGAAGCCCATATATATTTTAAAAAAAACCTGAAACAGTAGTACGTGAGGTTGTTACCGAGTCCCACTTTTTTTTTTCCTCATGTTCCTGGCTCAAGGCACTGAAAATTGGTAGACTATCACAGGGGGAAATAAGGTTGATAGAGCAATAGAACGAAATTCTTGTGTAACAGATTTGTGGAGGGAAGGATTAAACTTCCATACCTGATTAAGGATAACAAGCCACCTTTTCTTTTCTTCCTTATATAAAATTTGATTGAAGGTTTTAAAGTGGCTCACAAAATACCAAGAATGCTCCCCTCTAATTAAAAACCTTGTAAACAGGCTATGCCCCGTGCTAACTCCACAGCAGCTACACAGGTCAATCCAACACTTGTAGCAAAGAAAGAGCCTTTGATATGTTGTCCAAAATAAATCAGGACTTTGTGCCTATTCCAAAAGTAAACAATGAAGTGAGAGAAGAAGGAGGTCCAAGACTTAAAAACCCCTCCAAGGTTTTACCTGTTAGGATGATGATTATCACCACAGCCAAGATGTCTGGGTATTTTGCTAGAACTCCGGGAGCGTCCATCATCATGTATTTTTCAAAAAATTTTTCAATATGCCGACCTATGATTTCATCAAACGTCGCACTCCAGGCTCTGGCCACGCTTGAGGTTCCTGCCAGAGGACAGAAAGAATGTAGCTCACCCTTCGTGGCTGGCACACATTCCAAAGAGGGGGCACCTTGCATGCCTTTTTGCCATGGATGGCCTCAAAGCAACCTTGCATGTGCTGCCCGGGTGCTGGGAGCAGCCTTGCCTCTGCAGGTCCAGCCCACAGCCTGTCTTCATGCCTGACATCTGCTTTGATCGTAACACACGCAGATGGTGGGTCTCAGACTCCTACTCAGCTGACAAAATAAAAAAAATCCTTATAGTGGTTTGGCTTCTTAGTAAATCTCAACTTTGCCTTACGATACAACTTAGACTGACTCTTTCCTTAGGACCCCGACAGCCTGAACTTCCCCCAGACCTGGTAATTTCTCCTACTAGAGAGGTCTGAGTCTCTTCTCATACCAGCAGAAATCCCTGGCAGCCCCAGCTGGGTGACTGCAGCCCAGGTAGAGGGATCTTACAGAAGCCAGCTGGCCTCTGGCAGCACAATGCTGGAGCACCAAAGCTTGGACCGCAACACTCACCCAGCTCTGTACGCTCTGCAATCCAGCAACATGCAGGTCTGCTCCGACCTCCAGTGCTAGCGCATCCAAGCAGGATGAAGACTCAGACATAACGTACAGGGTATCTGAGGGTTAAGTCAGCCTGTTGCAGGACGCTGGCGATGACCCAGAAAGCGGCACAACTCCTGCCTGCAGCAAGTGCTTAGACTTCTCCCTCCAGGGCCGCTGTTTGCTGCAGTTCCTGAGAGCACCAAACCATGCACAACTTGCGGGGATGGGGAGTGAACCTGGAGTCTCAGGACGACCAAGTCCAGGGCATTGTCTTGGCCAGAAGAGTCATTTCAGAGAACTGAAATAGTAACAGTGAAGAGCTACCACCAGGCAGTGACAGCATTGTGTAAAACAAATAGGTTTGGGTCTTACACAGTACACTATATTTAACAGCATCTAATTGCATGATATAATTACTACTGTACATAATTACCTAGTTAAAAAAAAAAAAAGAGGTTGGTTTGGTTTTGGTTTGCAGAGCAATTCCTCAGAGGACGCTGTCAGGGCCCCCTTCCATCTAGAACAGTTTGTCCTGACACGTTCACCTGCAGGTGGGTGTTCAGGTCCTGACTCTGGCACCTGCAATCATGTCAAACGACGCCTGCGCTCACCTACAGCTGATCCCTCTGCAGCAGCGGCGGGCAGCACCTGCGCAAAGCTGGGAACACTGACCGCCCCGATCCAGCCTTGACACAGTATAAAAATAAGCTGCAGAACAGACCTATCTGGAGACTCTTCCGTTCACTGAGACAGCGAAGTGGAGTGTGAATGCTTTTGAAGAGGTGGGACATCAGTGCCACCAACTTAATCTTGAAAAACTCCAAAAGTTATTGCATACTACATTACAATTTTTCAGCTTAACTTTGGCACGATTTGAGGGAAGAGACTATTTCTTTAGTGCTATTTTTTTTTTTGTCCTGGCTCTAACATTTCATGTTCTAGGACATGAACAACCAGCTCCTGCACGTGTTATATTAGATGCCAGTTGCTTGGGTGCCAGTTCCATGTAACTATCAGCCGTCTATCCTGAGCTCTCTGTAGCCAACAGCCTTGAGGGAGCGGGTGGAATCTGACATAACTTCCAACATTGCAGAACCTGGATAATATCTTACTGTTGCTAGAGAGCATGACGCAAAGACATTTGTCTTGTATCCAGGAGGATTTACTAGTTCTGGGTCAGTGTAAACTCGCCAGATTGACCTGGCTCCTGCCCGCAGCACATGACTCCCAAGAGAGCCATGGAGCTCAAGCACAAGGCTCACTGCAGGAACAGGCACATGCTGGGAGGTCACCATGTGCCCCAGGAGACCCCAGCGGCAGCTACTCGCCAGGGATGCTGTTATTCATCCTGTTACCAGCTCCCAGTTCCTGAAATGCTTCCCACAGTCTAGCATGGTTCCCCAAACCCACATCATTGCAGAAGAAAGTCTGCACCTGGTCCTGGATACATTCTTCCACCCATCTAGACCATGACTGATCAGTTGCACGCCTATTTTTGTATATCACTCATCTCTGAGACCCCACACCAGCCTTCCCCCCAGGCAAGTCACTTCAATTAATTACAAGCTATTGGCCATCCATCTCAGGACCCCAGGATTTCTTTTTTTGCACCCCCCCCAATACTTTCTCAACAGATGTCTGAGATCCTCAGCATGAAAACATGGAGTTGGCAGAGCCCCTTACAGATGCAAGCTCCCACTACCCCACCTGGTTTTGGTGGCACTGCTTGGCATTTTCTGCAGCATGACTGAGAATAAAAATTGGCTTTCTGCCCCTCTCAACCCCCAGCTCTGAAATGCAGCATGCCTGACAACATGTCTTTCTCCTCCACACACCTGAAGCTGCTGGGAGTTGCCCTTGTTCACAAAATGGGCAATTAGCATGGGGAAAAAGGCTGGGTAAGATAAAGAGACCTGTTCACATCCTCCCCCAGTTGTTTTTCCTGCTTAGCTACCCTTCCTCCCAAATTATAAGGAAGTCAGTTGCAATCATGCATTTTTGTCACAGGACTGAATTAAAAGTAACAAAGTTGCATTTGAACACATTCATGGATAATATCTACTTATTTTTTACTGAATATTCTACCTTGTGATAATACACTGAGCAGCCAACTCTGAAATAAAAACTGAGGCAGTGGTTCAAAAGCTGTTACGAGAGGCCAAAAAAAAAAACCTACTCAGAAATACCAGCCTCAGCCCAGATCCTGGGAATGTAACATTCAATATGTAAATCCTCATTGTGCGTTTGCAGGATCAGGTTTTGGGACAACATCCATGGCTATGTCAGTCATTTTGGTGGTCCAGTATCATGGCTGGAAGGGCCATATAACGTAACTAGATGAGGAGCATGGAAGAGACAATTTATCATTACCTTTCTGGAACAGAAGACAAATCACCAAGAAGCCTGTTCAATTTTTCTACGTGTAGCCTAAGCAGAGTCCATTTTAGAAGTCTGGAGGAAATTATGTGCTTACTTCTTTTAAAAACTATTTTTATCATCTTCTTGCAGTGAACCTGATTCATAAAAGAACCACAGGACTCAGATTTCCTATGGAGATGAGTTTAATTGACTCTGGCTTTTCAGCCTCTCATCTCTTATTAAAAAAAAAAAAAAAAACAAAACCAAAAAAACCAAAAAAACGTAGAGGAAGAAAAGGTTTCAGGGAGCACAAACAGCAGAGCCAGCATGATCTCAGACAAGCAGCTGCTACGTCACTATATTGTTCTTGATATGATCTTACCTTCCCCAGCACCATGGGAACTAATCTCCAAGGTAACACTTCCACATCCCATAACATGCATTTAGAAAAAAAAAACACCTTCCTTTAATAATTTAGCATAACATCAGTTTTCATTTTAGCTAGTAAGTCTTCATTCTCAACTGGCAAGTCGGTTGCAGCCTTAATTACAGGCACGATGACAGGCAGCATGCCCAGAATGTGCTTGAAAAGACACGAATCATGAATTAGCAAAGTGTGGCTTAGCTTTAATATACCAGCTGAGTTGTAAGCTGCACGGTTGGAGCTTGATCCAATGCCTCTCCTAGTGGGAGTCAAGGGCTTAGAAGGGATTTGGTTTGGATGTGTCAGAGACTGTGAACCTGCAGATCACCCTAAGCTTAAGCCTGCAGCCATTCACAAGACAAAACTCTGATCTCCACGTAGTTTAAACAGGTCTCAAAGGGACCAGGAATTAATCCTTGATCAGCTGGGAGTACAGATGCTGCTGTGTAAAAGCATCCTTCCATCAGCAACTTCTTTCTCAGCAAAGGGGACACGCTTTTGCTCCCTGGCAAGTGTGCAGCAGCCAGGGGATGCCAAAGGGATGACATGGAGCTTCAGAGGAAGTCGCAGCAGCAATAATCCAGCTTCAGAACAAACCCTCAGCCCAACTGACAGGAGCCAGGAACAACGCAGATGAGTCCTGAAATCCACAGTGCGTGCAAGACTGCAGTGTCTATTTTGTAACAGCAACATAGGTGCCCAAACAAGCCTGATCTTACAAACTAGGCTGCCATCCTGGACTAAAGCTAGGGTCTTGCAGTGTACCCACCATACTTACCGATAACATAGGAGAGGATTAAATTCCACCCTGTGATGAAGGCCCACAGCTCACCCACAGTCACGTAGCTGTAGAGATAAGCTGATCCCGTCTTAGGAACTCGAGCACCGAATTCTCCGTAGCAGAGTCCAGCCAGCACTGAAGCCAAGGCGGCAATCAAGAAGGAGATAACAATGGCAGGTCCTGCATTTTCCCGTGCCACGGCTCCAGCCAGTATGTAGACACCTGCACCTAAAGTGCTGCCTACACCCAGAGCCACCAAGTCAAACGTGTTGAGGCATCGGGAGAGCTGACTATTTTCTCGAGTGCAGTCCACATTTTTCCGTCGAAGAAGCTGGTTTCCAAAATTGGTAATTTTCTGACACTCCATCTTTGTGTTTGGGCCTGAAAGAAAGATGTAGCCATCGTTACGTGGACCAGGATACCCCCTGAAACAGCATCACCGCACAGGGACACTGCTACAGCCCTGTCACATTTCAACAAATGAATCTTCCCACTTTCCACCTTTTTACATGACAAAATGTCTCCTTTGGAATTTTACTTAGGCTTAGCACAGGAAATTAAAACAGACAAAACCAAAGCAACTTCCACTTTTTGCTCCTACTCATGCCGCAAAGCCTGCATGATGCCGGGAGAGGTGTGGCACTCTGCCCCAGCTCCCACCCTGCTCCACAACCACCCCGTCCACAGACAAGTGGTCAAGCCAAAAATGCAAAGCCTGTCTTTCAGATTTCAGACCGGTTTTCCTGGGCTGGGAATTAAAAAAAAAGACAAGATATATATAGAGAGACATATATATATATATTTTAAGTCTCAGGGTGAACTAAGAAGTGGGCATTACATCCCAGAATAAGGCACCACACATGCTACTCTCCCTAGAGCACAAGACAACCACATGCCACAGTCAGTGACACCATCTGCAGCCAAACAGACCTACTGGGACATTTCCCCTCTCTAAGCTCCAGCCACAGACAGCAGCACAGGCTGCTGTTGCCTACAACTGTGCAGGCTGAAATAGATACAATTTAGGAAAAAGGACATGCAAAATTGAGTTTGATTTAACTTGGTTACACTGAGGCAAAGGCTCAAGCTATTTTGCATTTGCAGTCACTGGAATGAGAGCACAGAAGCACTGCAAGGACGGGGGTGTTTAATGAAACTGTGGGGCAGGGTTTCCAGACGCGGCCCCATTTCAGCAACTGCACTATTCCTGTGTATAGACCTGATGGTATGGCTGAAGAGCGGAGTGCAGCAGCTTCAGCACGTAAGCAGCTCAGGTGCAGCTCCCCTGCTTGGGACTTTATGATGGGATTAGCAGCAGGGTAAAGCAAACCCCTCCCTGTGGAGGGATCCCCTATGAAATCCTTCTTGAGTTTCTCTGCCCATGAGAGAGACGTTATCTTGGGATAGATTTTGCTATGTAACTCATTGAGCCTACAAATTTGACCATCTGCATAGGTGTCCACCTAACACAGGCAGTAACAACACTCATTAAATGCAACAATTGGTCAAACCAGCACGGCCAGAAGTGGGGTCAGCTCCTCGAGGACATCCGTGGAACCAGTGCTGTTAGGGAGTCTGTTCCTTCAAGATTTATGACCTTGGACACAGCCCGAGTATGGAAGTTTTGTCCCACTCATTCTGGAAAAAAAAAAAAAAAAAAAAAAAAAAAAAAAAAAAATCAAAATTGTCCTTGCCTTTAGAAAGCGGCTAGAGCGCTCCTCCTCACAGCATTACCTGAATCCATGAGCACAGCATTAGAACGAACTTCTTGCTTTTTACACTGCCAAGTCTAGCCCCACTTGTCACAGGCAACCATGGCGTAACATCAGGCCTTCCCTTAATAATTTCTAGGTACCTTATCTCCACTGTTGGAAAGCTGCGCCACTCTACTCTCCAGCCAACATGCTTTTGTAGGCAGTATTTACTCACATGCTCTTGTGTCAAGAATGGCCTTTCCCTGCTCAGGTGGTTACCCCAGTGTTCCTTTAGAGATCTGTCATAAACATTCAGCCTTCATTTTGCAAAGGTAAATGATCCAAGCCCCGAAGACACAGGCAGTCCCTTGCCTTGTCTGCAACTGTCTACCTCTGAACAGCAGTATGTCCCATTAGCAGCCTTTTACTTGTTACATCAAGAGTAGCCATAAGAAGCAACAAGAGCATCCCAAGAGCAACCACCAAGAACTCCAGTGGGTACGTCCTCTACCAGTGTCTGTTTTCCTCTCCCAGTCCCTGACTTCTCACTAAAAAGTCCTTTTTGCACTGTGCCAGTTTCCTACTAGTCCTCATCTTCTTAAATATCTTCTTGTGAGGCATGCCATCAAAAGCTTTACTCAAGTCAAGATACAGGAGAGCTATCATTCTTCCTTTTAACCTTAAAAGATACAATAGTCACCCACCTTCCCTGTGCCTCTTATCAAATAAAAGTGTCAGGTAAATCTGCCACTCTCTGATAGATAAACTCACTTATCTCTTCGCTCTTCTCCAGTCAACGGGCACCACCATCTACTTCGACAAAGGTTTCACTTTGCTGGTGCACTGCTGTTTTCATGCCCTGGTTCTTTCTGATTACCCCGTTCCTGACCCTCCTCTTCTGAGTGTAGCACCCACTGGCTGTTGCCATTTTCCTCAGCCTACACTCTGCCATCCCACCTTCATCCCAGCATCATCATCATCATTTAGAATTTGGCACCTGGATAATATGATGCTCTCCACAGCTAGGATGAACTGTAGGACCTGCTGGATTACTCCTAATTCATATACACAGAAAAACACATACCAAAATAAAGCAGTGTTGAGGGAGCTGTAACAAGGCATGTTCTTCACCTTGAAAGGGCCTCCGGTGGAAGAAGTCCATCACTTGCGACAAGCATCAAGAAAGTCCCCACAGAGCCACCAAAGACTACAGGCAACCTAAGCCAGAGTAACAGAGCTGGCACTGACAACAACCTACCATGCTTTTACAAATAGATTTGGCTCCAGGCACCACAAAATCACTATTATAAGACCTGCATTCAACTATTTAATGCCTGTTAGTGTTTCTGTTCTGAGCAAAAGCATACTTTAAAAGTGAATACCGTAGTTGTCCCCATTTACCACACTGTGGTTAACACTGCAAAGAGCTTGTGGAGCGCACAAACCTGATATTACTGGGATGAACCTAAACCTGAGGATGCTGCAGGGGCATACGTAACGCACGCCAACACCTGATGGGTGCTCAGCCCACAGGAACAGCCACTCCAGGATAGCCTCCCCTGTAAAGTATGCCGTGCGGACATCAGATTCTCAGCAGCAACTGTTTTGCTCTGCAAATCTACAGGGTGCCTGGACACAGCCTAAGAAGATGAAGAGCATCTTCCATCTTAGACTGCATCCTGTCGCTTCAGGAAGCCCCAGCCCGATATCCACACTGCACCATTAAGCCCAGCTTCAGCAGCAGGGTTTTCAAATGTTTCTTCATTAATTATGGAAAAGGAGAAAGGTTCTTTTATTTAGATGCAATGCTGGACTAAGGCATCAACTTTCTAATGAATAGCACCAACAACAGAACAGCGGTATTGTACACTCACATCAATAGTATGCCGAGAATAACATGTAGGCAAAAATATTGCTAAATGTAATTTACAGTATGGTCAAGTGAGATTGGTACTTCATCAGCTCCAGTTAAAACCCAGTGTAAAAGATGGGAAGATACATGCTAGGAAACTTAATTAACTGAGTCAACTATTAAATCCAATGCTTCAATTTTGTCACCACAGCATCAACTACAAAATCAAAAATCCTCTTCATTTTTACAAGACACCAGTCATAAACCCTGGCTTAAATCCCTTTCTCTTGGTCTTACGCTAACTCCCCTACTATGAGAAAGTAATTACAACTGCAGGAACAAGGCTGAGGATTTGGAAGTCCCACCGTGTCAGGAATTGTCTCCTCCACCAACAGCTCTCAAACACGCTCCTGAGGGACACGGATTCAGACTAATGCAGAAAGGTAGGTTTCAGGCCAGTCTTACAAAAATCTCATTTGGTGAACCATGGGAATTCCCAACACACACAGAGAGGGAAAACTGTTTTCTCCCTTCAGAAGGAAGATGGACCTGTTTACCCAACGGTATTCATATGTGAATTTGCTCATACAGCCTCCTTCCCACTTGAACCTTACCCAAATCCATGTCAGCCAGGATTGCTTTCAGCTGGACACCTGGCCACCTCCCCAGAAGCAGGAACAGGGCAGTCCTAAACTTTGAACTGCAGTAAGATGACAAGAACGCTGCACTGGAGTGTGCCCTATGAATTTTGTTGCTTTCTAGGACAATGCAAGTCCTAGGCTCTGCTTAACTCCCACCAGAGTGATGCAGAGATCCCACTGATGCCTGCATCCTACAAAGATGACAGCAATGGGGTGAACTCATCCACCCTGCCCAGTGGTGATGGTGGTGCCTGTTGTCAAGCAGACAGTGCTCTTCTGGCTGACCTCAAGATCAAGATGTCAACTTTGTCCTGCCCCAAAAGCAACAGAATGTCCAAGTATCTCTCTCGTGAATAAAATACCTCCTACAGCCTGCAGGTAAGAGACAGGGAGCTGGGTGCAGGGCATGGTACCTGCGCTGCAGCTGTATTCTGCATCCCTCACACACAGCGCTGTCCTTCATCTCACAGATGACTGATCACCATCCTAAGCATCTCTTACATGTTTTTGCTGATTTTGAAACAGCAGGTACCAGATCAACCTTTCACTTTCAATCATATTTGCTGTAGCTTGGCAAAGAGACCTTCAATAAAGACAAGCGTGGGGGTTTTTTGGGGGAGAACAATCTTCTGGTTTAGCAGGATGCAGTACAGGGGGCCATTACACCTCTGCCCAAAACCTTTCCTCTGATATCATTTGTTACCTTCGCAATTGTATCAAAGGGTGATTTTGGCGGAGATTATGACTTTTTCCCTCCTTAGAAGTTGGATCCGGCTGTGATCTCACTTTCTGAAACAGCCCTTCTTGCCTTTGAAGTGAGGAAATGTGTTCTGGGCTGGTTCCGCTCACTCCCACTCCCAACCGTACTTGAAACGACGAGCCTTTTTTTGAATGTACGGTCAGTACTCCTGTGGCATAACACAGTCCTACACACATAGAACAATATAAGTTACTCCAGAAACCACACCAGATGGTACAAAACCACCTTCGAATTGAGGAAACTTTATCTGAATGAACACAGATTAGCTTTGTTCTGCACACACCCAGCTCTCGCCCCTGCTTTAGCTCCAGTTTCTCTGATGAGAAACTCTGAGCTGCAAGCCCCAGCCGCTCAGACCCTGGGTAGGAAGTAG